TTGATCAAACTTTTATATCAGTCTGTCGGGAAAATAGTGGTGGGACCTTGGGATCGACGATAATCGCTCTGCAACGGCAAACCGCGGCTGGGAGATTTTTGGTGCGCGACTACACCTTTTTTTTGACGAGCTGAAAGATTTTACTGACTAATACAGTGAGGGACCGGATCCAATGGCAAAAAACGTCTCATTTTGCGTCCCGGAAGGGACCAAAATGTCTCCAAACCCTTCCCTTCTCTAAGCTAAAAGACCCAGCTTTGAAGAGCCCGCCTTGAAGGAAAGATCGCGCTTTTCGAAGCGGAGTTTTTTTGAATAGGGAATGGTTTGGAGTCATTTTGGTCCCTTCCGGGATGCAAAAGGAGACGTTTTTTGCCATTGGATCAGATCCCTCACTGTAAATAGACGGTCAGAAAACACTTTTGGCCAAAACTTTTCGAATTTTACGTCAAAAATCGCGGCGATATTTTAATCCACGCAAAAACCGCGCAAAAAGGTCGGATGCACTGTGCAAAATGAGGGTTTTTGGCCTGGCGACAAAAAGTCGGCGCACTTTTGCAAAAGAATACACCGTGGCATTGTCCTGCTATTCTACTAATCTCGGTCGACGCCATTCATTAATTCGTCAATTAGTCCCATCGCTTGAAAGAAGAAGCTTGTTTACGGCGCTTCTTTTCGCCGTATTGAATGCCGAAACGGTTTTCTCATAACTTTTGGGCCACGAAACCCAACCTGTCTAGACACAAAATCTGAAAAACAAATTTTGTTAAAATTCAATGTTTCGTCGGGTTCTGACTTTCAATCTTCTTGATTCTAGGGAGTTTTAGTCTCTGAAGAGTGATACTATTTATGAAAGTACTGTAAAATATGCATACAGCACTTTCATAAAGGCATGGACATTTGTGGATGTACAAAAAATACCCCCATTTTTCAACATGCTTCATTCTCAGTCTGTCGGGAAAATAATGTGGATTTCTCGCATCAAAATTCTTCGTTTTGTCGCAGTGGTGCACAAAATCCTCGGCCGCGGCTAGTCATCGAAAATGATAGGTGATTTCAAGACGCGAAAAATCCACATTATTTTCCCGACAGACTGATATAACAGCTCGTAATCGCGCCATAAAGTGTGTAGATTTTTTTTGCGTCGCACAGTGCATTTTTCCTTTGCACTGTGCAATTGGTGTCGCTCGCCGAAAATGCGCGGCGACTTTTTAATTGCACAGTGCAAAAAAGCTTTGCGACGAAAAGTCTGCGCACTTTAAGGAACGACTAATGTCTCCCTATGACGTTGTTTCAAATGTGCGCGGACTTTTTTGCAGCTACGCACCGTGCAAAAAAAACCCCATTTGCACTGTGCGTCTGAAATTTTGCACTGTGCAATCAAAGAATCGCGCGGCAAAAGCCGTTTTGCCCCGTGCAAAACGTTCGAAAAGCAAACAAACAAAAGCACTGTGCATGAGCGATAAAAAGGAAATGCACTGTGCCCTTTGCACTGTGCGAAAAAAGACAAAACGCACAGTGCAAAGAGTTCGAGAAGCCCGCACCGTGCGAAAAAAGGCGCACTGCACTGTGCAATCAAAATATCGCGCGGTAAAGGCCGTTTTGCACCGTGCAAAATGTGCGAAAAGCCGCACAGTGCGGTGCGAAAAGAATTAAAATGCACAGTGCAATATGTTTGAAAATCTGCACCGTGCGAAAAAAATGGCAAAATGCACTGTGCATCTGCCATTTTGCACCGTGCAGTCAAAATATCGCGCGACAAAATACTTCTTGCACAGTGCAAAATGTTCGAAAAGCTCGCACGGTGCGCAAAAAAATGACAAAATGCACTGTGCGCCGCGGCTTAAAAATATCTACGCACCTTTTTGAAAACACGTAGTATATAATACCTTATGCAACAACTAATCGCCCGAGTTTGCACTAAACTCCACGGAAGTACTTACTAAACGTTCCACGGTAAATCCGGCGAATCCCGCAAAGCTCCGTTGGGAAATAGCGAAAGCGGGGCGCTTTAATCCCTTTTCTTGGCCGGGTTATTCGAAAGGGCTTAGCCCCAGCCCTACCTACGGTTATCTCTATTTGTTTCCCATGCAATTGCAGAATATTTTTAAATAATCATAATGGTACATCGCGCTTGTTTTTCTGTTTATTTTCCGTTTTACGAAGGGGGCTTTGAACATTTCCGGAGATTTTAGAAGGCACTTTTGAAGGCTCGGTAGAAAAATAAGTAAAATCTTGGGTTGCAAAATGGCGAAGGGGTTATCAGTCCGTCGGGAAAATAATGAGGACTCTGTCGCGTAAAAAATCGCATCGCCGCGAAAAAAGAACTGTGTCGCACAACGAACAGAAATAGAATGCCAAGAATTTTGGCATTAATTTTCTCAATTTTTTTAAGACAGGTCGGATAAATCAGGCTCATACGCCATCAAAGGGCCATAATTTTATTAAGTTTATTATATCATATGAAAGGTAATCCGTTTCAGTTTATTATAGTTCGATTTTTTTAGATAACAAACTTATGGTTTTATGGTAAAACTGGCCGAAAATATGCCCGTTTTTGCAAAAGTTTTGGCTCTTCTAGAGTGTAAAGTACTTTTTTTGACAAATCTGATCAGGGAGGATTGTTCAACATGTCTTTCTCTTCGTGTGGGCTAAGTTTCAACAAAATTGGTCTTTGTCACGGCCGGGAATAGGCTCGGTGACAATTTGGGAGTCGGCCGGCTGGGTTTGCCGACTCCTTTTGAGAATCTTACAATTCTCCTACCTTTTCGCGGGGGTGCTGGGGATGGCGACGCTGACTGACAACAACAACAGTTGATTTTGCGATATTTTTATTGTGGGAATTTTCAGGCTTATATATTATCATCAAAAGGGCGGGATTAGCTGGAGTGTCCTAGGGCTGGGCCAAGGGGGTTGGGTCCGGCCCTAGGACACCTCATAAGTGGAATCATAAAGCAGGAGATACGGAGTGAATGATCCGTGCTTACTCAGGCGTTTGCACGGAAAGCGGTGATTAAGAGGCAGGGGAAATGAATGTTATGGCAATCAAGAATCTTCTCGGCCCAAATTAATCATCCAATCGGCCTATTGAAAGAATTCCTTTTTGCTATTTTTAGTATCGCGAGGGTGTCGCGACACTCCGGGGGAGGGAGAGGGAGGAAGAAGAGGAGGGAATTTTTGGGTTACAAAAGTTTGGAACAGAGTACAGAGATTACAAAATTTTACAATAAATTTATAGTGAGCTTATCTAATTACAATAAATTTTATAGACAGGTTATCTTATCTTTTTAGAAAGTGGGTTCCTCCGGTTCCTCTGGGCTGGTATCCGGTTGGCGGTGGCGGGAGTCGATATGTAGAGGGGCGCGGCAATTGGGGCACGTCGGGTTCTGATGTTGGTTGAGCTGGCTGGTGATCCACTCGTCTAGGCAGATCTGGTGGAAGAGATGACCGCAGTATGTGCGGGTCACTGGTCGGTCGTCCCCGGTGAGGCATATGGGGCACTGGTCCTCGTGTGCTCTGGAGGTGCTGGGCCCAGGGACGTCGTGGGGGGTTCCCAGGGCGCACAGCGAGGTGTGATGCCATTGTTTGCAGTGTAGACACGTTTTTCTGCTTGGGCATCTGATGACATCGTGTCTTCCCAAACAGTTGACGCACCGGTCGCCGATAAGTCTTCGGCGGACCGAGCGGTCAACAACGACCGTACAGTCGAGAGGGTTATGGTCAGCCGAGTTACAGTAGGGGCACGGCTGACGGCGTGCTTTATGCGGCCTCCTCATTTCTTGCTCCAAATTGTGGCGGAGGGAGGCGGCCAGGGTTTCGGCTTCATCCAGTCTGGTCAAACTTCGCCGATGCCTTTCTTCCTCGTTTTGTAGCAAGGCGCTGAGCTGATTGATCTCCTCGGTGAGCTGAGCGCCCACCTCCGCTGCGGCTAGTTGCTGGTTTCGCGAGGCCTCCCGGAGTGCTTGGATTGCCCGGTAGTGCCTCTCGTTGTCTTCTGCTAAGATGCGCCGGGTTCGGCGAGCTTCGTTCAGGGTGTCGGTGAGGGCCTGTGCCTCCTCCTCCGCCTGGTTACGGGCGGCGGCGGAGGAAGAGGCTTCGGCAGACAATTCCTCGTTGCGTTTCCGGAGTTGTTCGTTCTGTCTCAGGAGGCGCTTGGCCTCCTCCTCCGCCTGGTGTCGGGCGGCGGTGGAGGAGGAGGCCTCCGCGGTGAGCGCTTCGTTCTGCGCTCGGAGAGATTCTACCTCGCGTTGAAGTTCCTGGATTGCGTCCGACATGGCAGGATCTTGTGGTGCGGACGTAGATGGGCCGGGGATGTCGGCGAAGTTGATTATGTCTAGCAGCGGAATTGGGCGGCAGTGGCGGTGGCGTTCGATAAATTCTTCGTATTGAGCTTGGGTGAGTTCATCCAGGTATCTGCAGCTGTACTGGAAGACTTTGAAGAGTTCGGTCGCGACGGTTGGGTTGTTGGATTTATCCGGATGTAGACGGAAAGCGGCCCGCCTTCGGATGCTGGCCCATCGGGACTGTGTGCGGCTTTGGAGATTTATCAGACCTAGTGCTAGGATGGTTGAATATATGGTAAGCAGGTCTTCTTCGGAGGGGTCGAAAAGATGGCGACATTCGTCGTTTTGCTCCTTCTGTTGGTTTCTTTTTCCACTCATGTCTGGAAAGATTGGTATGAGACGACCGGCCATAGATTCCGGATTTTTTCGGGGGAGGGTGTTGTTTTTCAGCATTACAGTTCATTTGTAATTGAACTGCTAGTGGTGACGCTCCCGCGGAGGGAAGTGTTGAGGAACCGGAGGATGTGGGGTTTAGGATACGAATTTTGACGACAATGGTTAGGATAAAGCAGTGGTAAAATTTTGGCAAAAGATGTGGGTTGCGTGGAAAAAACTTCTCCCGATCCATGTTTTTTTTTGTTTTGTGTGTCGAAAAATAGGAGTTGTGGTTTTTGCTAAGGACGAAAGGGATCGGAAGAAGGGTAAGGGACCAGTGGTTGGTTAATGGTGGTGGGGCTTAGCCCGTTTGGGCAGGAGACCACGGCTTTCGGGGAGTTGTTGGTGCGGGCGAGGTCCGAGAAAGATCGCAGGTGGGGTGGAAGGGAAATTGTAGCGGAAAAGAAAATAAAGCATGATAACGACAGTTGCCATAACAATTAACATAAGGAGGGGATATTGGAAGATTAAAGAAGGGAAAAACCAAGCGACTTTTTCCAGAAATTGTGTAATATCGCGTAGAATGTTTCCGATCGGAACTTCATCGGCGGCTCTTGCCCACCACTGTCCAAGTTCCTTGGACGGGGGAGGAGGAATCGTCATGGTGTGAAGTTTTCCGAAAAGGTGTAGAGTTCCGTCAGATTTATCGGAGCAGGAGTAGGGACAGTTTTTGTTAAATTCAGCTTCATCGGTGTAGATGTTGAGTTGGAAGGTAATGTTGTTGCAGGGAAATGATTGGACATTTGTTCCATCACATTCGACATTGATAGTCGTTGGGAGTTTGGATTGGCAGAAAATGATAGCTTGTGCTCCCGAATGACAAGACTTGCATCCGGTCAATTGTTGTATCACGGAAGGTGCACACTTTGCACGATAATGAAACGTAGATATCGTTGTGTTTTGGAAGGCGATGTGAACCAGAATGGCGGTCTGTTGAGCGATTTCTGCCGTGATGGTGTGATTTTGATAGTCGATCTTTATTGGACCCGAAGTGAACGGGAGTTTTACCTCCTGGTTGTGCCATAGGTCCATAGGGTTGCGGTAGTTGCATGTGCATTTGGTGTGGAAGTCGCTGGGGCTGCATGAACAAGTTTCATGGGGGAATGTACACTGGAATCTTCTGGCATCGTCTTCTGAGCGGCATTGGAAGACCCCTAGGCTGCCCGGAGCAGGTTGTTGGGGGTCAGAGGCTGCGGTGGTGATGGCCTCGTTGGTTCCCACTTTTATAACCATAGGTTGATACAGAATCGGTACCTGCGGAGTGGATATGGCCTGTAGAGTGAAGATCTCGTTTCCGACGTGGACGGGCTTGGCAGCCACCAGTTGTATGAGGGACGTTTTTTCGCCCACTTCTAGGATTACTGACGCGGTTATAGTCCACGTGGGGCAACGTCCTATTTGGTAAATGTTGTTGGTTTTTGGTAAGGCATAGAGGCGCCAGAAGTTACATCCCGGACTGCAGAGGAAGCAGCCACAAGTGGCGCACCCACAGGCCCGGGTACAGTGGGAGTAGCCGGGGGCCCGACGGGCTAGGAGTGAAAATTCGGGGAGGTCGTCGGACGTGGAGACCTTTTCACATTGATATCCTTGACAGTACGAATTCGATGCCATATCACATCGATGGACGGATTCAACTGTGGTGGCAAAGTCTCGTGTATGGTAGCCGTATTTAAAGTTACATTTAAAAGACGATTTTTGGCTCGCTGCGTCAGCCCGTAATGGACCCGGGACATAGGAAAAAATCGATTTTGAGTTTTTTGCATAAAAATGACCGTCGACATGTGCTAAGGAAAAGCGAACAACAGTTTTTCTCAATTCTGCCCGGAAGGCATAAATTTGCTTAAATTTGTCTTTTTTGGAATTTTCGACCTGGTGACGTCATAGAAAGAGAAAATCACCCAAAATTTTGCTGGTATACGTTTTCGACCATTGGGAATTCATTTTTTTGAAAATTAAGTCTCTCAGATTACTGTAACATAGACATATTGCAATCCGGTCGATAAAAATCGACCGTAACTCCTTCGTATCAAAAATCCCACAGGATTTTATTTCAGATTCGGATTCAGCGTAAAATTCTGCATATTATACACATAATGTGAGGTCATAACTCCAGGGGGGAGATCGCGTAGTATATTGGATTTTGACAAAAATTACGTTTGAAAGGTCGCGGGTTCGATCCCCGCTTGGTGCAAATATTGAAAACACGCCGGAAATCGCGTTTTATGGACACCTAAGGGTTATGTGAGATACACTAAGCAATTTTAAACCTTGATGCATATCTAATTGCGATTAAAACTGATTTTATATAATTTTTGGAGACTGAATATGCAAAAAATGAAACTGCTTCAAACCGCTTGAAATTGGCAACATTTTTTCTGGGGTCAATTGTAAGAAACTTTTCTGTTAACTTTTTTTGGTAGATCACCGTACCATGGATTACTGTAACATTAAACCTGATTTGGTTTTTCGTGTACCACATGGCGCATAGAAGTCGGATTGTCGTCATTTTGCTTAGAATAGTTAAGAAAGAGTTTTCTTGTGTACAAAAAAAATTTTATGGCTGTACCGTTTGGAACGGCCGAGTTATTTGACGCCCTTTCACCAATTCATTATGACATCAAGACGCGTTGCAATTAAGGGCGAATTTTCTTTCATATATAGGAAGAGGATCTTTTCGCTGTCTAAAGCGACTAATTAACACGATTTAATATTTTATGCAAGAATTTTTAAGAAAATTGCTGTTAATCAGGACACGTTTAACGCTACAGTAATCCATCGTACGGTGATCTACCAAAAAAAGTTAACGGAAAAGTTTCTTACAATTGACCCTAGAATAAGTGTTGGCAATTTCAAGCGGTTTGAAGCAGTTTCATTTTTTGCATATTGAGTCTCCAAAAATTATATAAAATCAGTTTTAATCGCAATTAGATATGCATCAAGGTTTAAAATTGCTTAGTGTATCTCATATAACCCTTAGGTGTCCATAAAACGCGATTTCCGGCGTGTTTTCAATATTTGCACCAAGCGGGGATCGAACCCGCGACCTTTCAAACGTAATTTTTGTCAAAATCCAATATACTACGCGATCTCCCCCCTGGAGTTATGACCTCACATTATGTGTATAATATGCAGAATTTTACGCTGAATCCGAATCTGAAATAAAATCCTGTGGGATTTTTGATACGAAGGAGTTACGGTCGATTTTTATCGACCGGATTGCAATATGTCTATGTTACAGTAATCTGAGAGACTTAATTTTCAAAAAAATGAATTCCCAATGGTTGAAAACGTATACCAGCAAAATTTTGGGTGATTTGCTCTTTCTATGACGTCACCAGGTCGAAAATTCCAAAAAAGACAAATTTAAGCAAATTTATGCCTTCCGGGCAGAATTGAGAAAAACTGTTGTTCGCTTTTCCTTAGCACATGTCGACGGTCATTTTTATGCAAAAAACTCAAAATCGATTTTTTCCTATGTCCACCGCTGACGCAGCGAGCCAAAAATCGTCTTTTAAACTTTAGCTGGAGGGTAGTCAAGCGGAGCATATATGATCCGTTGAGTGGGGTGGTGATTCGGAGACAGCTTGTTTCGTTGATGGGCCGCAAACTGAGTTGGATGGATTGGGAGAGGGAACAGGTCTCGACGTTGGATTCTTCATCAAAACGGCAGTTGTGAGTGCTCGCGGTTAAGGCGGTTACCTCTGAGCAACCATTAACCCACGGAAAGAGTCCGAAGAGGAGGTAAATGGTGCCTGTCGTCCGAAGAAGACGTCGAATTCGGTGTGGAGCCTGGTATCGTGGTTGCCGAGGGTTTTGTGGACGGCATCGAGTCCAGATCCATCTGACTGTTCGCCAAATCCAAGTGTGTATAGCTAGTAGGATGCAAATGAAAGGTATCAGAGCGAGTAATACTCCCATCCAGATGAAGATTCCTGTTTTTTGGATAGCTGTGCAGCAATCCCACCTCCAAGGGGCACAGTCCTCTGCTGTACAAGGGTTGGGCAGGGAATCCGTGGCCGAAACGGTGTTAATAAGAACTACGCCTAGAAAATAGGCGACTAGTGTGGTGGAAGAAGAATTCTTTCTCGGACTCCGTCTGGGTGGCGGTGGGCTATCTTGCTGGTTGGACGTTCTTGGGATTCCTTCAGTTGCGTTTGGGATCTCGGGTTGAAGTTCGAGTGGATAGAGGTGTTTCGGGGATCGGTGGAGGACCAAATGAGGCGGTGTAGCGAGTTGAATTTTGATTTTGTTTGGAGTGACGATCTCCAAGATCTTCGCCATTTGCCACTTTCCTCTTCCGAGTCCTTCCTCATGGACAAGCACGACTTCTCCTTTCAGTGGGAGTCGATCGATCGCAGATCTGTCCTGTTTGTGGGTTGTTTGATGTCGCTCGGCCAGAGTGAGGAGGTATTCCGAGCTCCAAATTTTCCAGAATTGGTTAATGATTCTTTGTTGCTTTCTCCAAAGATCCATTAACTTGGTGACCGATGACGGCTTAGGCTCGAAGGTGCCATCCTCGGGATCCCAAGGGTCGAGGAGAGGGACTCCGATGAAGGCTCCTGGTTGGATGCAATCGATGGGTCGGATCGGGTGAAATGATTGATCATCGATTTTTGAGGGTACAAATGTCAGTGGACGGGAATTGACGATAGCTTCTACCTCGGTTAATACCGTCATCATTTCAGGCAGCGAGATCTTTTTCTTGCCGATGGCTCTCTTGAGTGCCGTCTTCGTTACTCCCATCAATCTTTCCCACGATCCGCCCTGCCAAGGGGCAGATTCGGTGATGAAGCTCCATTTAATTCCGCGCGTTGCCAAATACGATTGTACGTCTTCGGATTCAGCCCATGCAAGGGTGATTGCTTGAGTTGCGAGGCGGAATTGGGGGGCATTGTCGCTCCAGACTTCGGCTGGGGTGCCCCGTCGAGAGATGAATTTTCGAAGGGCCTGGAGGAAGGCGAGGGTGGAAAGGTCCAATACGAGCTCGAGGTGTACGGCCCGTGAGGTTAGACAGGTGAACAAACAGATGTATGTTTTTATGGTGTCGGTAGTGGTGATGCTGACAGAGATGGGACCACCGTAATCCAGGCCTGTGTAGTGGAATGGAGGGTTTGGTTGTACACGCATGTGTGGGTAATTGGGAAAGGGTGGAAGCGCGAACGGCTTCAACGTTCGGCAAGAACATTGGCGAATGCTGGATTGGACAAGGCGTCTGGCTTTTGGAATCCATACGCGGTAACGAAGGTGACATAGAGTAGTTGAAGTGGACGCATGTCCCAATAGTTGGTGGATATGATGGATGTAGAGTGCGGTCCCGTAATGGGGAGATGGTAGGAAGATGGGGTTTTGTGCTGTCGTAGGGAGAGAAGCATGGGCGAGCCGAGTACGACAGCGAAAAATTTGTTCAGAATCTTGATACAGGTTGAGCTCGTGCTGTTGAGCTTTTGTTGGGGGTCGTTCTTGTTGCATTAACCGAAAGAACAATTTCTCTGCAGTATGAAATTGGGTTGTGTGTGGGGTGGCCGGCGTGATGTACACGGAAAGCCAGGGATATTTCCGTTGAGCGGTATTACTGGTCGAGAGTGCGGTCGCCAGGTACTGCAGTACACACACAAGGGTGTGGATGAGGATGGTCCAACGGCTGAACCGAGTAGCATCGATGAGGGGTATGGGTGCCATTGTTACTTCAGCGACGGCAGTGATATCCTCCGGAGCTTCGTAGAGTTCCGGTTGATTTGGCCATTGGCTTGTTGGCTGCCGGAGCCAAGCGGGACCTTCGAGCCAAAGTTGTGAAGGTGGGCAACGTTTGGTAGCCGAGTCAGCTGGGTTTTCTGCCGTGGGAACGTATCGGATCAAGGCGTTGGGGACATTTTGCCAGATGGAGTTGACTCGATTCTTGACGAAGATTGGAAGTGTTCGACGAGAAAGAAGCCATGTGTGGACGATCCGTGAGTCTGTCCAGAGGAAGATGTTGGTGAGCCGAATTGACGGTAGCTCAGTCGCAATTGTGCGAGCAAGGTTAGATCCAATGAGAAGTCCGAGGAGTTCCAGGCGGGGCACGGTCATGCCTTTTATGGGTCCCAGACGGCTTTTACCGATTAGGAATGACACATCGATAAGGTCGCCTGACTGAGTGCGAAGATAAGCGACTGCGGCATAAGCTCGGTCAGAAGCGTCACAGAACACGTGAAGTTCAGCGGAGTCAGAAGAAAATGGGCATACGTGGCGTTGGAGTGTGGGCATTGTGGATGTCTCGAGTAACGATTGAATTTGATTCCATTCAGAAAGAAGGTCTTCCTGTAGTGGGATGTCCCAGTCTTTACCTTGTTGCCACAACTTTTGGAGGAGGAGTTTAGCTTGGAGGATCAAAGGTGCATGAAAGCCTAAGGGGTCGAACAGGCTAGCGATCCTTTTGAGGATGGTTCTCTTTGTGGCAAGCTGTTCGGAGTTTGGGGTTTTCCAGGGCACGAGAGTGAGGATATCGGTGTTTGTATTCCACTGTAGGCCTAGAAATTTGACAATTTCCGGGATCTTTTCTCCTTGTTGTTCCAAAAAAGCCTTGACTGTTGGATGGCTGGATTGAAACTCTCGGAGGTTCATTTTTGCTTCGC